ACTCATGATTTCCACATAGTTCAAGGTCAGTCTGGGAGACATAAGACCCTGTCTCACAAAAAAAGGGAAAACAACTCCAAAAAAAGCTTCCTTCAAACAAAATCCAACTCCCTTAAGAAAATACCTCTGGGGGCCCCCGGAGAGATGGCTCAGTGGTTAAGAGCATTTGTTGCTCTTGCAGAGGATCCAGGTTCAATTCCCAGCACCAACATGGTGTCTCACAACCATCTGTAACTTCAGTTCCAGGATGCACAGACATAAATGTTAGCAAAACACTCACACACATAAAATAAAAAAAAAATCATAAGAAGAGAAAATACATACGATGCCTTCCAGGTAGAAGCTGAAACTACCTGAAGGTCTAGAGATCCCCAGATTTTTGTATGTATTTATTTCCCCCTTTGTCTGATTGTTTATTTGAGACAGGGTCTCTTTTAAGTAGTTTTGGCTACCTAGAACTCTCTTTGTAGAGCAGGCTACTCACAGAGATCCACCTGTCTCTGTCTTCCAGACCCTGGTGTGCACCACCTTGTCTGGCCTGTTGTTTGTTTTTGAGACTGGCTTCACTATATTGGTCAGGATAGTCTAGAACTCGTGGCTGAGATGATCTTCTGACTAGATTCTAGAGTAACCGAAACTATAGGCAAATGTGTATGTTTCACTTTCTTTTCATTTACTTTATTTATTTATAGATTGGGTCTTGCTACATAGAACTGTGCAGGCTGAACTCCAACGTGTAAGTTTATTGTTTGTGTCTCCGGAGTGCTGGAATTAGAGGTGTACACCACCACTACCCCACCCTCCATTACTTAACTCTTCTTCTTCCAAGCCTGTTCCTGCTGATGAGGACGGAGGTATCGTTACAGTGAAGTACTCACACCTCCAGGCAGTACTGAAGGTCCAGGCTTCATCTATAGTAAGAGGTGCCCCCCTCACCTCCCCATCAAACAAGCTTACTTCTTCACCACAGTTACCCAGCAGGTGATCCAGGTCATTGTGAGGCCAGGATGTTACCGTCCTGTGCACGGGGGGCATCTCTGTGCTCCACATAGGATCGAGGTGTCGGGCACATAGCTAAGATGTTTGGTAAAAAATGTCTTCTGGACACGACAGGGCCATTGCACCCACGGACTCACTGCTGCTGTGGTGACCTGCACAAAACCTGACCCATCAATATTTCAGACGGGTCCTCCTCAGGAGGCTCCACCCTCCCAGAGGGACTCTTGGCAGGTAAAGGTTGCTGGAGGGAGGAGTGTTTTTTAGTGGTGTAGTTGAAACGTTGCCCATGTTCCAATAAATACCCTCCCCTATGCTCAGGCAAGCAACCCTAAACTAATCTCAGTGGGTAAGAAAAAAAAAAAAAAAAAAAAAGACATGGAAGTAGGGGAGGCTGACTGGGAAGAAAGGTGTCAGCGGGTGACCAAAAGTCATTACATACGTGTGCGAAAATTTCCCTTCCCCCTCAGTAAATATTTGTTGAATTCGTGGCCAGACGAATGGGGACAGCAACCAGTTTTCACAGAAGCTCTCCGGGGAAGTGGCTCCAACCCGGTGAGAAGGGGTCGCATCAAAAGCACCTGGGGAGATGGGTGGCGGCCCTGAGCCCCGCCCCTAAGTGGCAGGCGGACCCCCGTCACGTGTTGGCGGCTAGCCAATCGTCCAGGGAGGGCGGGGCAGACCAAAAAAAAAAAAAAAAAAAAAAAAAGGGTGAGCCTGGTCCAGAGGACATTGCTGACTGAACTCAGATCAGTTCGGGGGGCCTCATGTCGCAAAACGGAGCTGATCCTGAGCAGCGCCAGCAGGCGTCAGAGGCGGACGCCATGGCAGTGACCTTCCGGGCGAGCGGTAATTGCAGGGCGGCCCGGACCCGCTGCGGCGCGGAGCCGAGCCTTCCTTTTCCGTAGGAAGTTCTGGTCCCAGCGTCAAGGTCGGCACTCCCACCCGAAGCCAGCCAGGGTGGCGGGCCGAGGGAAGGAAGGGCTTGCGGCCATGTGGCACTGCGAGAGTTTAACCCTTTACCTCCCCGCCGTCAGCCTTTAGCTTCTAGAAACAGTTCTCCGACTGAGCGCCCCCGAGCTTGGGCCTGCTAGGGCATTAGAGCCATCCAGGGAAGAAGAGGGGGACAGGGCGGTTTATGATTGATCTTGACTGACTGTCCCCAGAACACCAGCATATCCGCTACAATCCGCTCCAGGATGAGTGGGTGTTAGTGTCGGCCCATCGCATGAAGCGACCCTGGCAAGGACAAGTGGAGCCCCAGCCTCTGAAGACAGTGCCCCGCCATGACCCACTCAACCCTCTGTGTCCCGGGGCCACTCGAGCCAATGGGGAGGTAAGCCCGAATACCTACACACAGCCACCCAGGGAGACAGGAGGAAATAGTTCTCCCGTATTGCTGCCCTTCACCCACAAGAGGGAGCGGTGCGCCTCTTTTTGGGTCATCTCCGGCAAGCAACTTTGATCCCTGGAGTGTGCCTTCCTTGCCCGCTTGCCCCTTGTGCAGGCCTGGAAGCCCATCAGGTGGTAGTGTTTCTAGCCTGTTCTTGTCAGTAGGTGAATCCGCACTATGAAGGCACCTTCCTGTTCGACAATGACTTCCCAGCTCTGCAGCCCGATGCTCCGGATCCAGGTACCCTCCAATCTAACCCGTGTTGGGGAGAAGGGAGACTGGATCTGTCGGGGGACCCTGTGCTGCAGAGGGTAATGCTCCTTTATCTCAGGACCCAGTGACCATCCTCTTTTCCGAGCAGAGGCCGCCAGAGGAGTTTGGTAACTATGGGTTTCCCCTCTTACAACCTCCAGCCCAGGGTTGAAGAACTAAGACCCGGACTATCTCTCTGTCTTATCTTCTTCTCTCACCACCTAGTAAGGTCATGTGCTTCCACCCCTGGTCGGATGTGACGCTGCCACTCATGTCAGTCCCTGAGATCCGAGCTGTCATCGATGCCTGGGCCTCAGTCACAGAGGAGCTGGGTGCCCAGTACCCTTGGGTGCAGGTCTGTTGGGGGGGAGGTGTAATAACGTTGGTTTGGGGAGTAGCATTACTGCTTCCACAGGGTGTGGTCAGGAGAGGGTTGGCTTGATGTCTCTTTGACTATTAAATCTCTCTACTCACACCCACTAGATCTTTGAAAACAAAGGAGCCATGATGGGCTGTTCTAACCCCCACCCCCACTGCCAGGTAAGTGTGTCAGGGATGGTAATGGCTTTCTTGGCTGGGTCCATGCCAACATTGAGGACAGAACTGGATTAAGGAATGGAACAAAAGAGATGCATTAGTAATGTGGAGGCTTAGAGATAACGGACTCGCTTGCTCTTCTCTGTTCTCGCCCCTTGACAGGTTTGGGCCAGCAGTTTCCTGCCCGATATTGTCCAGCGTGAAGAACGGTCTCAGCAGAGCTATCACAGCCAGCATGGAGAGCCTCTGTTGTTGGAATATGGCCGCCAAGAGTTCCTCAGGAAGGTGGGAGAGCACCAGGCCCTGTGTCCCCAAGGAGTCTCTAGCCCTTTTACCCTCAAAGTGCATGAAAGGGAGGTGGGCTGGTAGCAGTCATCTAAAGGAAGGTAGCTTAGACTAGGCTGGTAGCAGAAGCAGAGAGACTCAGTCGGATTCCTCTCTTTCGCTTTCCTGATGCTTGCCCCTTTCCCCTCTCACATTCACACCTCGTTTCCATGCTGTGTGTCCAGGAACGTCTGGTCCTATCCAGTGAGCACTGGCTAGTCCTGGTCCCCTTCTGGGCAGTGTGGCCTTTCCAGACACTACTGCTGCCCCGGCGGCATGTGCGGCGGCTACCTGAGCTGACCCCTGCTGAACGTGATGGTAAGGATCGCAGGTAGGACCCTGGGATTGGGCGCTGGGTAGAATGACCAGCACCTGTTCCCAGGCTGACAGTCGGGCCCTGATTCCAGATCTAGCCTCCATCATGAAGAAGCTCTTGACCAAGTATGACAACCTATTTGAGACATCTTTCCCCTACTCCATGGGCTGGCACGGTAAGGCTTTTGGTGGTGGAGTTGCCCCAACACTATTTCTGGGCTTCTAGGTCCTGCCTTAGAAAACTGCAATCCCTACCAGGCCTTAAACCATCTGGTGGCCTTAAAACAAGTGTCCAGAGCAGGGGTGCTGGGACTGAGGGTGGAGTAATTTGGTGAAACTGTCACTGAGGACCAGCTCCCTGGTGGAATACTGGGAACTATAGTATTTAGGTACCTGGTCTAGTTCAGGGGAGGGGCCAGGCTGAAGACCTGAAAAGGGGCCTTCCTGATCATTTCTGTCTATTTCTTGTCAGGGGCTCCCACGGGATTAAAGACTGGAGCTACCTGTGACCACTGGCAGCTGCATGCTCATTACTACCCCCCACTCCTGCGCTCCGCTACTGTCCGGAAATTCATGGTTGGCTATGAAATGCTTGCCCAGGCTCAGCGGGACCTCACTCCTGAACAGGTCAGGGCTCAGAGCACCCTGGGTCTTCATAGTCCCCTTCACCTCATTGTCTCAAGGGATCCCAACCGTCATGACCCTGAGGATCCTCATTAAAAAATATATAAGTACTCCTAAGAACTCGGTTGCTGCACAGGTCTGTCCTCCGGTGGCTTCAGCTGTCTTTGTCACCAGTCTTCCAGTCCCATAAGCCCTCCTCAGTATTTCCTGGTCCCAGAACGCCATACCATTCTAGGTCCTTGTCCCCTTCTAGGCTGCAGAAAGATTAAGGGCACTTCCTGAGGTACATTATTGCCTGGCGAAGGAAGACAAGGAAGCCGCGGCCATCGCTTGACCATGATGACAGCAGAGCCTTGAGTCTTTTCGTCTGAGAGACCTGGGACCTGGAGTTTGGGCAGATGTGACATCAATAAAACTGCATCTCAAATGCTAACCATGTTTTTGTGACACCAGAGAAATGTGAACTCTTACATTCTGGAGTCTTGGGGAAAGGCTAAGTGTGACTCCAAACACTCTTTCTTGCCTACAAATGTTCAAGATGTAGGCAAGAAAGATTTGATGCAAGAATTCCTTCCCAAGCGAGACACGATGGTGCAGACCTGTAATTCTACCACATTGGAGGCTGAAGTAGGATTGTGAATTTGAGCCAGCTTGGGTTACCTAGCAAGAGCTAGCCTCTGAAACCAATGCCAACTTGGGCCTAGCGGTGTAGGCCTGTATCCTGGCTACTTAGGAGGCTGAGGCAGGAGGATTGTAAATTCAAGGCAAGCCTGAATAGCTTAGAGAAACCGTCTTGAGAAATAGCTCAGTGACAGAGTATTTCTCTGATATGTGTGATTCCCTGTGTTCAACTCTTAGTTTGGGAAAAAAAATTCTACCTCCAATCTCTGAACAATATTCAGTATTGTATCTGATCTTCTTAACTTGTGATATAAACATCATTCTAATTTTGGAGACTATTTTAAAAATCTTATGTTCTTAGCTTGGCAGAGTCTTTGGAAAGGCCAGTGCCTTTTGTATCACTGGGTTTATTATTGTCAGTTCACCAAGCCTGGGCCTCAAAGCTTGGTGGGGAGAGGGTAAGGAGAATCCTAGTCCCAAAGGTCAGTCCAGAGCTGGGCTGCTGGCCAGAAGCCTGGTTTTGTGAGTGGCCACAGCTAGACTCTGCTCCAGACCACAGGGGCTAAAAGGGTGGGTTGGGAGTGTGCATGTGGCTTGGTGTTCTTGGCTTCCTCCAGCTTCGCTGAGGGTATATGCAGCCTCAGGCCTGTGCCTATGCTCCGGTCATTGTACAGGTCTCAGCATGGACTGTACCTGACCATGTGACTGGGCCTGACCTAAAAGAACCCAAGCTTCCTCTTCCTGCCTTCCTACCTAGGGCCATTCCTCCTGAGACCTTGGAGGGATGAGGGGGGTGCCTGGGATTGGGAATATTGCAGGGTCTAGAAATTCAGACGAAGTAGGCATCTCCCTTGAGGCTCCCTGAGTAGGTGGCTAATTTTAGGGCATACATAAACACACACACACATCTAACCTTGCCTGTATTTGGAATCGCCTGAGGGGTTTTAGAAACAGTACTGGGGTCTAGATGCAATGGCCAGGGATTGTGATTTAACCGGCATGGGATGGGGCCTTTCTGTTTAAAAAGTTCAGTACTCCAAAGTTTGAGAACTACACCAACCCTCCGTTTTCCTATCTTATCTGGAGTCAGGGGCACCTTCACCGAATGCAGTCAGCTGCCCAGTGGTTCAGTAGGGAACCTGAGGCTGTGTGGACAGCTGGGAAGGGACGAGCCTGAGCACTTTGAGGCCCGCTGTGCCCGGGAGGACAGGCCTTCAGGAGAGGTATGAGGAATGTGGCCTCAGGTTTTGTCCTAGGAATCCTACTCTGGCACCCTCCTCCTAAGTTCCAGACGGGACAGGAAGTGTCCGGAGGAGGTGGAAGTGATTGGCAGTTGGAGGCTCCAATGGGCCGAGAGCCCCCCCTGTTCACCTCTCTCGTTCTATTGGCGCCTGGAGGAGCCGCCCCGACTGCGGGAGTCCAGGGAAGGAGGGAGTAGAGGCCGGGGCAGAGGGCGAGGGTGGAGGGCGCTGGCGGCGGCAGCCGCGGAAGGTGAGGCCTGCTGGGACCCGGGTGTTGACTCCCAGGTCCTGCCAAGAGGGGGCGGGGCCGGGTGGTGTGTGATCTGAAAGGCAGGGAGTGACTGATGGACTAGGAGTGTGTCTGTGTGAGTTCGAGGCAGCGTCTGTGTGTGACGATGTCAGGGTGTGAGGCTCTGGAACTGGTGTCATCTGGCGTATCTGTCAGTGAACGTGACTGCGTTTGAGAGTGTGATTGTAGCTGGGTCTGCTTGCGGCACAGCGACTGTGGGAATGCGGCTGTCAGTGGGCAGTTGTTGTGTGTGTGTTTGTAAGAGGGGCAGGGACCTCACCAGGGAGTGTGTCTTGGGAAGAAGCTCCGTGGGGGGTCTTAGATTTCATCTGCCAGTGTGAGAGTGGGTGGCCGGGTTTTTGTGTGATAATGAGTGACTTCAGAGGTAGGAAGAGCAAGAGCGAGCCTTGTGACCGTGGTGTGTGCTATACCCTAGCCTAGGCGGTGTGCGAGTGAAGCTGTGTTCTTATATTCGGGGAAACTTCAGTTGTTGGGGGAGACTGACTTCTACCCAGCCTGCAGCATAGACAGATCCACCTCCATTGCACATGGCTGTCCTTCTTCCTCTGCTCAAGATTTGTGAGGGGCTGAGAATGCAGCTCAGTTAGAGAGTGCCTGTCCAGTGTGAGCCAGGGCCTGGGTTCCGTCTCCAGTGCTGAAAGAGTAAGTCCCGTCGCTGGTCCACTGCTCTTATTTGAGACAGGGCCACGCGTATCCTAAGCCTCTGGATTGCTGGGATTACAGGTGCGGCACATCTGTTTTTATAAGTGCTGGGCATCAAACCTCGGGTTTTGTGCATGTTAGGCAAGCTCTGCCAACTGAGCTCCATTCCTAGGCCCCCTGGTCTAGTGGTGTTTCTGTTTTCGTGCCTGACTCCGTTTCTTTACATTTCTTCCGCTGTCCCCATGATTATCTTCCTGGAGAGATTTTATCTCTCTCACAGCTTTTTCTCCCAGGTGTCTCCGTGTCTCTGCTTTTCTAGTTCTGACGGCAAGCTGTCTCTCAGTTTCCCTATGCTTGATTTCCCTGTTTACTCTTGTTTCTGGCCATACAAGGGCTTGTAACCTTGACCCAATGCTGATCTGTCACTTAGAGCTCCTGTGAGCTCCTTATGGCGAGGAGTCGCTTTGAAGGGAGCACTGCGAGCCCCCTGCACCCCTCCCCCCCACATAGCGTGTATGCCTTTGTGTCAGTGGGACCACTAGTAGACTGAGATGTGTAAATGTGTCTGGGTCTGAGTGTATCAGGGTGACTGACGACTGTGAGTGACTGTATCTAAGAATATGAGTCTGAGGGTAGCCGTGACTCCAGTATATCTGGCACCAAGGGATCAAAGGCATTTCCTGGTGCTGAGGCCCAACGGGTGGAGGGGAGAATAGAAATAAATGGCTGGAACTTCCAGGGAAGGGGGGAACTGGACTCTGGCCTTTCCTTATATTCTCCAGTGTGAGGCCTGTTTTCCCCTGAAAACACAGCCAGCCCAGCTGTGCGCGTAGGGAACATTTGTTGGAGAATGGAAAGAATAGGAATGAGTGTGTGTGTGTTAATTTTTTTATTGTGCCCACATGTGTTCAAGTGAATATCCTTGTGTTAGTTAACTGTATCCAGCGAGTCCCTGAGTAGACATGGTTTTGGTGGTTCTTCTGGTGACAGGGATAGAGGCAGAAGCAACCCTTCTCTCCCTCTTGCTGGTCCTGGCTGTGTCTCTGGCTTCCTTTTCCAGCTTGAGGGGGGCGGCCTCTTCCCTTCCCAGGCCCTGGGGTGGGAGGGAAGGAGAGAGGAGGGAAGAAGGGGTGGGAGGAGGGGGCCTGGCTAGGGGTGGCTAAGCTCAAGGCCCAGAGGGGGCGGGGCAGAGAATGGGAAGGAGGGGGTGGTTCTGGGGTCCCAGGACTGAGTGGAGACAGTGCTGTAGCCTGTAGAAGGAAGTCTTGGAGGCCATGGACACTCAGCCACTGTGATTATCGAGGTAGGGCGAGGCTGAACAGGGTGAATGGGGCTGGGGACCCTGGGGGTGGGCCAACAAGACATTCAGGGTGACACAGATGTGTGAAGGCCTCATTCTGTTTTACTCTGGAGGGGTCTTCTGGCACTCTGACTAAGGCCTTGCCCTCTGCCCCTTCCTTGCTCCCTTCAATCTGCTGCTGGGTCTCCAACCCAGAGTCCTTTCTCTCAGCACCCCGCTCCTTCCCTGCATCCCTGCATGCACATTTCTCAGACTTGAGTTCCTGCTGCTCCCAATCCAGACCTCTTGCACACTGGCCCCCACTGCCATCGCCTTTGGTCCTGAACACTCCCCCCCCCACTTGCTGCTGTGGCCCCCACACCAGGCGCCTGCTCCTGCAGGCTCCCAGCTCCCCTCCCTTCTCCGCCACCCTGTCTCCATCTCCATCTGCTGGCTCCTCGCCTGCTCTCAGCCTCTGGCAGCAGCCAGGGCATCTGGATCCGCTTAATTCTGCAGCCCCAGCCTGCACCCTAGCTCTATCCAGCCTCACAGGCTTGAGACCAACAAGATTTCAAGCCAGGCCCATCTGAGTGGCCCAAGTACTAGAGTAAGAAGCCAGGCCCAGGCCAGAGGCTTGGCCTCCAGAGCAGGCTAGGCCTCATGTTGCGATTATAGGGCGCATTTGGACCCATCATGCCGGCTCCCTATCTTAGGGTGATGAGGTCTCATCTCATTATTTGCTGTATGTTGGCCAGAGGCAGTAATTAGCTTTGGTCAGGCTGGTGGCGAGTGCCAGAATTCCCAGCAGCTGGATTGTATGGGTTAACGGGAGTGGCTGAGCCAGTGCCAGTCCTTGGTGCCAGGGGTGGGTGCCAAAGGTGATGTGTATGTGTGTGTATGTGTGTGTGGGGGGGGATGCTGGCATAGTCTTTTGCCTCTGGCTTTTGTTCTGGGCCCTAAGCCCAGGACTGAGATGAACTCTGTGTGTGTGTGTGTGTGTGTGTGTGTGTGTGTGTGTGTGTGTGTGTGTGCTTCCGTGTGTGCGCACAAACACACACAAGGACAAATATATATTGCACTGGGTATATGGTGGAAAGGGGACTTCAGGTTAGAGTCCTCAGTCATTTCCAATAGCTTCATTTCTCCTGATGCTTCAGTTTTCCGTAAGGAAGCTCCAGCTTTGGAGAGGATGAGCCAGGCTCCTAGCTCATCGATGGGCAACTCTTTTTTTTTTTTTTTTTTTTTTTTTTTTTTTTTTTTTTTTTTTTTTTTTTTTTTTTTTTTTTTTTTTTTTTTTAAAGATTTATTTATTTATTTATTATGTATACAATGTTCTGCCCACACACATCCCTGCAGGCCAGAAGAGGGCACCAGATCTCATTACAGATGGTTGTGAGCCACCATGTGGTTGCTGGGAATTGAACTCAGAACCTCTGGAAGAGCAGTCGGTGCTCTTAACCTCTGAGCCATCTCTCCAGCCCCTCGATGGGCAACTCTTAAGCCTCCTTTCCCCCCACAGATGAGCAGCAGCTGCTCAGGGCTGAGCAGGGTCCTGGTGGCTGTGGCTGCAGCCCTGGTGTCTTCCTCCTCCCCCTGCCCCCAGGCCTGGGGTCCTCCAGGTAAGAAAATGCCACTCTGGGACCCCCCTCAGGAGACTTGCTCTTCTCACTCTGGCCCATTCCTGTGGCCCAATCCCCCCCCCCCCCCATTTCTGACAGCCTGGGTCCCTTCTCTATCTTGTCCCCTGATCCCCATCATGCTTTGACCCAGCGACCCCCTCCCCCACACCCAGGGCTTAGCAGCTTGCCCCTCACCCTACCAGTCTCATGAATGGGAGGTGGGTACAAAAGAAGGGCTTCACCTCAGGAATGCCCTTCACAGGGGTCCAGTATGGGCAGCCTGGCAGGTCCGTGATGCTCTGTTGTCCTGGAGTGAATGCTGGGTAAGTGTTCACCTACCTGCTAATCTCATACTCATGATTCTTTCTTGACCCTGTCCAGACCTCATGTTCCCTCCTGTTCTTGCTGCTTCTGGCCACGATCCTTGCCTCTCTGTCCTAACCCTCCGACTGTTCTTACTCAGTAGAAAATTCAGCCAGTGTTGGGGATGTCGCTTAGAGGGCTTGACTGGCATGTATAAGGCCTTGGGTTTGATACCCAGTATCAAAAAATCATCAATTAGTTAACTAGCCAGTATGTTTGAGTTCCTGCTAAGTGCCTGGTCTGTTGTCGGCTCTGAGGTAACAGCAAGATGCACGTCCTCAAGAACTTTCACCCTAGTAGGGAAGACAGTAAGCACTCAAGAATCTTGCTGGGTCAAAAAGCAGCAGCCACACATGTACAGGTTAGAGTAGACGCACTCCTGACAGAGGGAACAGCTTGCGAAAATGCCCTGAGGTGGGAATGGCCTCAGTCAGGAGGAGCAGAGAGAAAAGAATGTGGCCTGTGGGGAAGGAAGGGTGAGGTGATGAAGGAAAAGAAGGCAAGAGCTAGACCACAAGGGCCTTTCTAAAGGGAAGGGAATTGGGGTTTAGTCTCTTCCTTTTCGTTTTTATTTTATTACTTTATCTATTTATTTTGATACCTGGGAGTGGTCTGGAGCTTGCTGTGTAGCCCAGACTGGCCTTAAACTCCTGAGCCTCCTCCTCCAGCCTCCTGAGATGTTAGGCACGCACCACCACACCAGGCATGGGACTGCGGTTTATTGCAAGTGTGCTCAGAAGCTCTCGGAGAACAGTTGCATGGCCTGACTTAGTCTCTCCCTTTCATCACTTCATCTCGCCTTCAGGACCCCAGTGTCCTGGTTTCGGGATGGGGAGTCGAGGCTGCTTCAGGGACCTGACTCTGGACTAGGACACAGACTGGTCTTGGCCCACGTGGACAGCACTGACGAGGGCACTTACATCTGCCAGACCCTGGATGGTGTATCTGGGGGCATGGTGACCCTGAAGCTGGGCTGTGAGTTAGGGAAGGTGGCCGTGCGGAGCCATCGGATTCCCAAGGGAACCTGGGACCTGAGCATGCCCTCTGGGATAGGGAGGAGCTAGGGACGCCTCAGTCTTCAGCTGTACCCTCTGTCTCCAGTTCCCCCAGCTCGTCCCGAGGTTTCCTGCCAAGCAGTAGACTATGAAAACTTCTCCTGTACGTGGAGTCCTGGCCAGGTCAGCGGTCTGCCCACCCGTTATCTTACTTCCTACAGGTATGTGTGCCTGTGCAACTGGGGATGCTGGCGTGATATGGGTGTGGCAGACAGGGAGGGAAGTTCTGACAAATTATCAGAGAAGGCAGGGGGCCCTCTTTTCCTCCTGACCTCAGATGACACCCTTTCTGTCAGGAAGAAGACCCTGCCAGGAGCTGAGAGTCAGAGGTAAGACACGAGAGAGAGACACTGGGGACTGTAACTTGTGACTTATTTGCAAAACCCAAGACCATATCCTCCCTCCTAGGGAAAGTTCATCCACAGGGCCTTGGCCATGCCCACAGGACCCTCTAGAGGCTTTCCGATGTGTGGTCCATGGGGCAGAGTTCTGGAGCGAGTACCGGATCAACGTGACTGAGGTGAACCCACTGGGTGCCAGCACGTGCCTTCTGGATGTGAGGTTACAGAGCATCTGTGAGTACCCCAACCCCTGGTCTCCTTCCAGATTCCCATCACAGAGACTCCAGACAGACTCACACCCCCCCTTGCCCCAACTTCCAACTAGTCCTCTCCTTTTCATACATAAAGACCAAGTAGTAAAGAGATGGGTTCTGTACACACTCCAGAGCAGCGGTTCTCAACCTGTGGGGGCCACATATCAGATATCCTGAGTATCAGAGATTTACATTATGACTCATAGCAGTAGCAAAATTATGGGTATGAAGTAGTAATGAAAATAATTTGATGGGGGCAAGAGGGTTCTTCACAACATGAGGAACTGTATTAAAGGATCACAGCATTAGGAAGGTTGAGAACCACTGTCAAGTGGCTGCTGCCACTGCCCACAAGTCCTTGGCTGCCTAGCTGACTCCTGCTTCTAGGCCCCATGCTGAAGGCAGCCCAGTCTCATGCTCTGCCTGTCCAGGGGAAAGGCTGGCTGGTCCCTTTCCTTCTTGATCTGAGTGTGGGAGGGGAGAAGGCAGTAACACTTAGGTTGGAATTTGGGTCAGTGAATCTTCTGTGGATGATAAGTTTCATATCACTCAAACTTATCAAAATCCTGCTATTGGATTGCTGCTTATTTTATAACAAGGATGACAGACAGATCCTGAGGCTGAGTGATGGAATTTGACATTTCCCCTCCCGCTGGGAGGTGTCTGACTAAAGCACCTTTACGCACACACTGCACACACTGCCACACTGCCCACACTGCACACGCTGCCACACTGCCCACACTGCACATGCTGCCACACCACACACACTGCCCACACTGCCCACACTGCACACACTGCCCACACCACACACACCGCCCACACTGCCCACACCGCACACACTGCCCACACCGCACACACTGCCCACACCGCACACACTGCCCACACTGCCCACACTGCACACACTGCCCACACTGCACACACCGCCCACACTGCACACACCGCACACACTGCCCACACCGCACACACTGCCCACACCGCACACACTGCCCACACCGCACACACTGCCCACACCGCACACACTGCCCACACTGCCCACACTGCACACACCGCCCACACTGCACACACCGCCCACACTGCCCACACCGCACACACTGCACACACCGCACACACTGCCCACACCGCACACACTGCCCACACCGCACACACTGCCCACACTGCCCACACCGCACACACCTGCCCACACCGCACACACTGCCCACACCGCACACACTGCCCACACCGCACACACTGCACACACCGCACACACTGCCCACACCGCACACACTGCCCACACCGCACACACTGCCCACACCGCACACACTGCCCATACTGCACACACTGCCCACACTGCCCACACTGCACACACTGCCCACACTGTGGGCAGTGGTGAGGAAGGGAGGAGTACCCGTCACTTACCCTGGACTTTGTGTCTGGCTGTGCTTAGTGCGCCCTGACCCACCCCAGGGACTGCGGGTGGAATCAGTACCTGGTTACCCGAGACGCCTGCACGCCAGCTGGACATACCCTGCCTCCTGGCGCCGCCAACCCCACTTCCTGCTCAAGTTCCGGTTACAATACCGTCCAGCGCAGCATCCAGCCTGGTCCACGGTGAGGTCTGCAGTGTGTCTCAATCTTGATCTTCGGGTTCTGTCTCTGGCTTTGAGATCTTGAATGTTCTGCATCGCTTCCAGGCGTTGACTGGTCTCAGAAGACCCAATTTCCCCCCTATATAGTGTTCCCAGGTGTCTTTTCTGGCTGGGGCTGGGCAGGTTCTCTACTTACAACTTAGACCACACCCTGAGAAACCATTTTTACCTCCAGGTTGAGCCCATCGGCTTGGAGGAGGTGATAACAGATGCCGTGGCTGGGCTGCCCCATGCGGTACGAGTCAGTGCCAGGGACTTCCTGGATGCTGGGACCTGGAGTGCCTGGAGCCCAGAGGCCTGGGGAACTCCGAGCACTGGTGAGAGACAAGGACAAAGAAAAGGGCAGAGCCCTTACCCCAAAGCAACTGTCAACCAGACAGTTTTACACACACCCTTGTTACGGTCTTTCGACACTGCTATTACTGTCCTACACTATAGCCCTGATGCCTGCAGCCCTACCCTAACCTTAGCCCCGAGTCTACTTCTGCACTTAGAGACTATATGTCTGCAAGTCTACAAGGCAGATCCCAGAAACTGGCCACACCCTTTGAAACTGCCTCTTAGGCCCCCATCTCGAACCTAGGTTCTAGTCCTGCCCCTGCCTTAGGAAGGCAGAAGCTTCTCTGTATACTTCTCAGGTTTCATCTTCCTTCAGGTCCCCTACAGAATGAGATACCTGATGGGAGCCAGGTACACAAACAGCAGCAAGAGGCAGTAGTCGCCCAAGAGGACGGCCCCACCCCTCCAAGACCTTCCTCACAGTCAGACCCAAGGCCACTTGGTAAGTTTGGGCCGATTGGTGAAGGTCTGTGGAAGATGGAAGTCCTAGAGAGACGACATCACCAAGCATGGTGGCTAACATTGCTCTCCCAGTGACTCACGACCTTCTCCCTCAGATCACAAGGACCCCTTGGAGCAAGTGGCTGTGTTAGCATCTTTGGGAATCTTCTCTTTCCTTGGCCTTGCTGTTGGAGCCCTGGCTCTGGGGCTCTGGTAAGTGAGTGCCACTGGTTCCTTAGCTGTAACCCCCAACAGCTGCTTTGATGCCCAGAGACCACATCCATTCCCACCCGCAGGACCTCCTCCTGTTTACTGCCAGCTGAACCTGCCTGGTTTCGGAACCCCTTCCGCCACCTGACTGTGCTCTCCCTCCTGATTTTCACTAACCCCTCACCCCTTGCTAATATATATCCGCTTGGAGGAGATGTGGGACTGGGGGAACAGCTGTCCTTTTGTCTTCAGGCTGAGGCTGAGACGGGGTGGGAAAGATGGACCTCAAAAACCTGGGTTCTTGGAACCAATGATTCCGGTGGACAAGCTTCCAGGTGAGTAGCACTTAGTAATGTAGGCCCCCACTTGAGTGTCTGGCTTAAGAACCTGATGCCCTAGTGATTTTATGTACCGGGATCATGGGAGTTGGGGCTCCTCGTTTTTATATCTAGACGAGGGGAAGGGGTAGACCTTTCACTCTTGAGTACCTGGTCCCAGAAATGGGTCTCTTCCCTCTCAGAGTATTGGGAATTCCAGGTAGCTCCCTTCATTTTCAAGGTGTTAGAACTGGATCTCGCCCCCTCCCCCTTAAATGTCTTGGATAAATGCTTGCTCCTCTCCCTGATTTGAAAAAATTAAATTGTATTATTACTGTGTTATGTGTGTATGATATGTGTGTGCAGGCACATATGTGCCATGGCACATGTTTGGAGGTCAGAGGACCTTGTGGAATTCTTTCCACCTTCACGTGGGTTCCAGGGATTGAACTCAAGGCATCAGGCTTGCTTGGCACATGCTTTACCCACTGAGCATCTTGCTCCCCACCCCCTAGGCCCAGAACTATTTCTACTTCCTTATCTTTAGGGTGCTAGGGCTCCCTCAAAAGTACCCCCGCCCCGGTTCCTCCTCAGAGTGTTCGGTTTAGGAATGCTCCCCTTTTATTCTCAAAGGATGTCTGGACTCAGTCCTGCTGTTGCATGACTTGCTCCCTGCTCTTCTAGGAATCCCAAACCTGCAGAGGACCCAGGAGAACTTCAGCTGATTCCACCTGTAACCCTGTCAGGCTAGGGTGCTTAAATGGGCAGGCAGAGAGAGGCAGGGCAGTGGATCCCCATGGATGGAGGTCTCGGAAGTTTGAAGCCCTTTTGAGACCCGATATTCCAAACGTACTGCCAGCTCAATGCTGTCTGAACCTCTGATGTTATCCTTGAGGTGGAAGTCCACTTGAGGAATGTGTGTAGATGTGTGTGTCTGTGTCCATCTGTGACTGTGTGTATGTGAGATAAGGGACATACATTCTCTGTATGTGTGTATATAGATGCTTGGAGAGTGTGTGCAGACCTTGGCCTTGGCCCTTGTGGGGACTGTGAAGAGTTGAAATAAAGAGACCGAAGAAGTTTTTGGAGTTTACTGTCTAATGTTGTTTTATTAGTTTTGTTGTTGGGGGCTCGAGTACATTTTCATTTGTAGTTCCAGATTTAAGTTGGGTAGTCCTCTGGACCCTTTTTCCATGGCGCTCAAACCACCGAGCCAGGCTACGGTTCTGAGGATGAACACAAACACTGCGCCGAGCCAGGTGAAGCCTGGGAAGGGAAAAATCCAAAGCTATGCCCGGATTTAGGGCATGAGCTTAGGTAGGGTTCAGGGGTTGGGGGCAAGAATCAGACGAAAACTTGAGTAGGTATCAGAATTAGCATTGGGGCTGGGATTGGGATTAGTATGAGGTGTTCTGACTGAGGCAGTTAGAGGTATCAAGGTTGGGGGCAGAGCTCACACAATAGCCTGAAGGTGACAGTCCCCATCAGCCTCCTGCAGTTCCACATGGATGATCTTCCTCAGTAGCTTGTTCGGGAGTGGTTGTCTGTAGAGCTGAGTACAGCAGGTAGTGCTGGAGGGCAGTGGCAAGGCTGTAGAACAATAAGGTCATGTCTTCAGAAAGGTCTAGACCCATGGCTGCTCTATTAGATAGCTGGAAGTGGAACTTTCTGGGCCCCGTCCCTTCTAGTCCATCCACTCATCGTTCTGTACCCTCCAAGAACTTACCTGCTCCAGGGTCCAGGCTCAGAAGCAACAATATCACCAGGAGGCTGCTGGTGGGTGAGAGCCCCTCCATGCCGCTCAGCCTAGATACTTCTTTCTTTCTCCTCCTCACCCTACCTTTTATCTAGTTGCGTTTTGCCTGGGGCACTAGGTGAGTCAGAGACAGGTGGCAATACCTTGCTTATCTTGTGATACTCAGTTCTAACTCTTGGCCTGCTGTCACTGACCCCATCCCTTCCAAGACTGCCATTTCCCATGGGCTCCCAAGCCCTGGACAGAGAACACTGAAGAGAGGTAGTGAATGGTGTAGGGGCTGACGTTACAGTGGCTAAGGACAGCCACGATTCACTGGGCACCTACTAATGGGCATTTATACTCATCCCATAGCCACACATTCCTAAGTCATACGTTGGTCACGTAACCCCATAAAGTCACACCCATGACTGTACAATCATAGACAAAACCATACAGCTCCAGTGATACACAAAAGCCCCACTGCCATACACTTGCATTTCCACAATCATTCCTCTGTACTACCATATACTACAGACATATTCTGACGGAAGAGTTTATGGGGGAGGAACAGAAGCTAGCACTAACCTGTCTTCATTTTCTCCCTACTCCCTGCCCTGGCCTGCCTATGTTATCAGGAGAAATTGATGGGACTGGGTCCCTAAAACAGACTCTTCTTGGCTAAGGGGGGAAGCGCGATGGATAAGGAGGAGAACCCCAAGCTCTTTGATGCCCGATTGCTGATGTTAAAACAGGTGAAAGGGGGTGGGGTATCGTGGCACATGTCTTTATTCCCAGCACTTGGGAGGCAGAAGCAGATCAGTCTCTCTGAGTTTGAGGCTAGCCTGGTGTACATAGTGAGTTCCAGGCCAGCTGGGCTACACAGTGAGACCCTGTCTCAACAAACAAACCAACATCCCAGAAGACGATAAAGGCCCTCTCCCAAATCTCACCTTCTTGCTTCTCCTTAGTCTTGTTCCACGGATGCCAGCTTGTCAGTGGGAGCCCGGGGGTTTCCAGACATAGTCTCTGGCTTGTTGGAGACATCAGACTCAAGAGCTAAGTTAGGTCTCTTTTGATTCAAATTCCATCCTCTTTACACTCTGGGCTTGAAGGAATATACCTCTCCCAACCCAGGTTCAGAAATCCCCATTTTCCCAAACTCTGAGCACCCCATCTACTTTTCCCTTCTTTCTCTTCCGTGCAAAATTCCTGCTCATCTTGAGTCAACTCTTTCTGTAAAGCTGTGAAATGCTGGGGGTGGGGCATGCTTGTTGGGTTAATGGCTCAGACTCCTAATCCGGGAATGTCAATTTTCAAGTCCTGTTCTGGATTTGAAATATAAACTGAGCCACAACCCTAAGAACCCATCTCTTATCTCTATGTTGTATTTTCTGCTAAGAGGCCAGTCATTCTCTGTAGATAAGCTCTTGGGATAGGGCTGCCACTGGCTCTGAGCAGCTTGCTCTGCTATAGCTAGGTGAGACTCTAAACCTTGCTCCCTCCTGACAAGGTTGAGACCCAAAGACCCTTCTGGACATTGTCTCAGAAGTCTTCTGACTGTCTGGGAGGATGTGGACCCAGGGCTAGACAAAGCATTTGATGTAGACACTGAGGAAATGGCTAAAAGTTCGTACACTTTTAGTATTTGAAAGTAACCACAACCCAGGGGTCACTCATCTGGAATTTTTGGTACCCAAGGCTTCAGTGTATCTCTCTTACTCCCTGTCTAGACATTTGTCCCAAGGCTTGGGTGTAGCATCAAAGAGAGAGAGAGAGAGAGACAGAGACAGACTGACAGAGAGGAGAGAGAGACAGAGAGATAGATAGATAGATTCTGAGGAAATCCCCCAAGTTGTATCATCTTGCCTTATATGTTTTGTTAACTAGTTGCCTGCCATTTGTGAGCTCTCCTGTCTTGTCAATCCAGAGATCTTTGGAAGGCAGAAACATTTTCCTGGCTGTGTACCCATCTCTCCTTTTTTGGCTTCTCCCAAGATAGGAAGGCCAAGTCTTCTTTCCCAGCAAAATCTGCTATGACAAGGGCAGTGCCAGGCCAAAAGTGAGCTTTGGGCTCAGCCAGAGTCCAGGCTGTCTCCATAACTTAATCATCAGGTGTCTTTTCTGGTGCTGGAGTTGGCGTCTATGAGGAGGTAAGGGGAGCAGCCTGACTCTGGCCACTATAAGAGTTGGTTCCAGAGTGATTTGGGTTGGATAAAAAGGGGCGGCAGAACTCTTCTGGGGATGCCAGGTATCTTTAAATCTGGGATCAGGGGCTGGCAAGATGGCCATGGTGCCAAGCCTGAGGACCCGAGTTAGACCCCTGGAACCCATATGGTAGAAAAAGAGAACGGACTCTCACACGCTGTCCTTTGACCTCTGCATGCACATGCACTGTGGTGGACACACACACACACACACTCGTAATTTAAAAAAAAAACAACAAAAAAACTGGGCTCGGACTGGAGGAGACGGTTAGGGGTTTCAGCTGTAGGGAAAGGCCTTGGACCCTTAACCCTTGTCACTCCCCTGAGGTAGACCGCTAGAGGCAGCTTCTAGGAATAGGTCTTTCCTCTCGCTGACAGCTGACTTTGGCTAAAATGTTTTAGATCCACTCCCAGGAAGAGAAGATTCTTCAGGCACTTGGCAAAGTTCCGGCTAGAGGAAGGCAGTAACAGCTGGAGTTGTGGGAACACTGATAAGTGGCAGAAATATGTGGCCTACTGTGTAGGTGCTATTGGGGAGGGTGTGTCGGGGTGGCAGGGAGCCAGTCACTGATAGTAATTGGAAGCCTGACGATAATTGGGGGCCCTTAGGAGCAACGGAGGCCTTGGCATGCAAGGGCATCCTACCAGGGAGGGACGCCCTGCGAGTAAGAAAACAGCAGGTGTGGAGTGGGATTCCCAGCACCAATGGCGGCTGCGGCGGTAAAGTCAGGAAGGCAGTGGGCGTGACTTTAAATCTTTAATGCACCGGCTGTCTGTGCAGCGGCGGTGGGGGTGCGACAGAGGAGACCACGACCTGAGCGCTGGGGAGCAGGCCTCAGGCCGCTCGACAAACAGCTCATTAGGCCCCGCAGAGGCTCCAGCTTCTGCTCCCGGGGGTGCGCCGAGCTGTAGGGCGACCCGACAAGGACATGAGGCGGGGCAGGGGCTCCTGAACTCCCCCACATCCGTCCTCCGACACTGAACCTCGTTCACGGCCCCCGCGAGATCGCAGCCCCCTCACCTCCGCTCCCTGCGCCACATTCGCAGCCAAGGAAAAAAGTAGAAGCAGCCCCAGTAGATCCTGCAAAGAGAAGGCAGAGCCGGACCGGGAGGGGCGGGGCTGACCCACAGACCCCACCCCTGGAACCTAGCCCGCCAGCAAGCCCCGCCCCCGGGGGCTGGACATCCGCAGCCCACGCCCCACGAGGGCCCGCTCCGCCCGCCCCAGGACGCGCACCTTCCCCCACCCCCGGCCTAATATCCCTCCCCCGCACCACCCGCCTCCACTCACTCCTCCTCCGCTTCCAGCGCCACCTCGTATCTCCTCAATCGCGACATGTCCCGGGCTCCGAACGGTTCCTGGGGAGCAGCATGATACGAACACTTATTCCCAGCCGCAAGTCCCCTTCTCCATCCTTCCTAGGACGAGTCTGAATCGTCCTCAGGTACTCTGAGGCAGGTGGCCCCCCGCAAGCCAATTGCCACATCGGGGCAGGATGGGATGATGATATGGTAGTCACTGGAAGTTAAGGCGTTAGAAGGACGGCTATCTAGGGACCCGGGCGTGGAGTCGTCCAGGAGAGCGGTCTGGCAGCAGTGGGGCTGGGTCATTTAGGGCCCTGGATGAAGATTTTTCAGGGGCTGGAGTCACCTGAAGGGGGGCTCAGGGGTCGGCACAGCCTAAACTCCCCGCCCTCCCTGGCTCCGCCCCGGAAACGGACCGTTAACAATTACATCACAGGGATACCTTCGCACTCGAGGGGTGGGGCTTGCGTACCACCCGGAAGGGGAGGAGCCAGTTCTTCGTCGGAGGAGGAGGCGGGTTCAAAATGTTGCGCTGAGTCGTGGCCCTGTGTTTTGTCACTGAAGGGGCGTAGTCAGGAGTTTATTAAGATGCTGGATACGCAGGACCCTCTTTCCTAGGGACGGAGTCAGATTTTAGAGTTCCACACGTTGGTAGACTGTGGCCTTGGCACGAGGCCGCAGTAAAAAGTGCTTTGGGGCTCTCCTCACAGGGTCTGTCCCCCACCTCCCCGCCCCGCACCCCCACTTTCCTGACTTTGACCCTGTCAATTGCTTTTCTTGCTTGCCCAGTGGTTCTTGAATGACCTCAGGACAGAAGGAATAGACCCCCAGAGAGAACACA